ACTCCCTTCGACTTTCATTCTAATCGTGAATTCGTCCTTCAAAATACACTGCCAGCTTCACCTAAAAAGGATCTCTTCCCTCGAAGAGTCAACACGACCTCGCGTCAAAGAGCCATGCACAACCTCTTTTAAAGAATCCTCAACGTTAGCTCACCCTGACAATCACTAGTCGTTTTATTGGAGGAGTATTAAACGCATTATTCTGCAGGTACTGTACATAAAAGAAACGTTCTCGAAGCAATATTGATTATCTGTGTATGAATAAATCTCTTGACATTGGTATGGTCCATTCTTGGCTACATATTAGCTCGCTCGCTTTTGTCAGAAAAGTTTCACAAGTATAGAAAGGGTTTCGAACAAAACTTGCAACAGGCGGGACTCGAACCCGAACCTCTCGCTTACCGGGCAAGTGTGCTACAAGTTACGCTACCGCCTTAGTGTGTGCGAAAGATTTTCTCGGTTAAATGCAGAGGAGCCAGAAGAGTAACAAATAAAAACAGCAGCAGCTAATAAACAAAACAAGTCAAAACCTTTGGCAGTAATATTCTCTATAATGAAAAAAGAGGCTGAAGCATTACAGAATTTTCACACTTATTGATCGTGACAGCGGCTAAAAAAATCAGCAAAAGAATATTCTATAAAAAAGCATCACTTACTTTAGATCGCAAATGTCCCATAATTCCTGCTATCGTGGCATTCGGATCGTCAAACTAAATATTGTTGAATTATCGATTAAATGATCATGTGATGTTTTTTAATCCGTAACTGATCAGTGATCATCTGGTGCGACCGCCGTTACACGGGTAAGAAATATTGATACTTATTGAATAAAAAATTTAATCAGCAATAAATTAGGCGGGACTGATGAAGGCAGGATGGAAGGTATTATAGCGGATCAGTGCAACTAAAAAAGAAAGATTTATTTGTTTTACTACTGTTGTCGTAATTTCCACAAAGAGGAGGTAGTGAGGTAAAATAGTCATAATTTTACATGATCAAAAGAATAATTAGGAGGGAGGAAGCGGGGGCAGGAAGATGAGGACCGTGGGTAGACAGGAGAGGTAGGGCAGTACGCTGTGTGAGATGTAGCTAATATTGAGCGATAAGGAAGAAAGCTTCAAATACACATAGGACCAATAAAATTAGCGCTTTTAAATACTTTTGGTAATGTCAGGATAGCAAGCTTTATGATGGGGGAAGAAAAAATTAGGAGAGGGTGCGCAGAGAGACTGTGAAAGGAGCTGACTGCCCCGACGATTAAAACTGGCAAACAGGCATGGAGAAGAAGTGAAATACAATTCCATTAAGGAGGGCTTTAGGTCACGGCCGCGGCGACAACATACATTACCTTGGCTTACCGCGCCAGAGATAGAGGGTAAGTGTGGGGTGTTCCTTCTGTGAACAGATGGTGACGCAGGCTCAAGGAGCTCTTGAATGGGTGTGAGGGAAGAGAATAGGGGCGATTCAGCATTCGGGGACGTCATTCACCTTGGCAAGCACACCGCGCGCCGCACACTGAAGGATTTGCGTCGTCGCGTGGTGACCTAACCTTGATCACTTTTGAAAACCTGAAGACATTCTTGCGATTCATATGAACCTTGTATGACTTAATTAAAATTTTGAATTGCGCGTTCCTTATATTTATATAATTTGGGTGTGTATTTCAATATTAATTTTTAGGTGATTTTATAAATCAGAAAAATAAATTCTAAAATTTCCTAACGATCTAACCAAGCACGTGTATCCGTTAACTTATCAATTAATCACTACAATCAACAACCCACCTCCTGTGGCATTTCATACGATTCATTTCCACCTTTCCTTATCAACCAGGCCGCCAGCGATGTGAACATGAAAAATTGCTCACCGACATTTGTCGAATTCACAAAATAATATCTGAATTTGATAAAAATTGATGAAGAAGAACAAAAAATAATTAAATATTGGCACCTCTGAATTGGTTTGAAGGCCGAGTTCATCTTCAGGAATCCTTCCTCATAATTCAACAATTTCAGCTTATCAACGAGATCTTCATTCTTGATATACGGCTCGTAGAGTTTTCCTGGTCCTTCTTGTAGATCTTGCTCGTGCTCATCCTTGTCCTCGTTCTCCTCCATCTCCAGAAATCATGCAGCCAAAAACTGCCTAGAAGCCTTTCTCATTTTCTGCGAAGTGAACGAATGGTCTCAGTAACAAACTATTTAATGTGCGAGGAATTTAAAAATAAATCAAGTAGAAAAAATAGGTGGTAGAATACAAGAACGGCAAGAGACAAACAGTAAATAAGACAGACGAGAGTTCAAGCGATCGTCGCTGTGAAGGTTCTTTCAGACAGCAGTTGCCATAGTGACGAGGTGACCCACGCTGTCGACAATTCCACGGGTCCGAACGACAAGCCTTTATGAAATAAAAAAGTGGAACTTCAGCAGCTGTATCCCTCTGGGGATTGCCGACTGCTTTTCAATATGTATATTTATGTAGTACAATCGTAACGATAATAACTCAAAGTAGTCTACCCTACAAGTATTTTGTACCTATGAAATTACACAGAAACCGGTAAAAATGGCGTTGGAGCGGCACTGCATTGTGCTTTTCTTGTATAGGGACTAGGATCAAGAAGAGGACGTTGATAATATTGGTCCTTTCGGAAAGTTTCCGCCGATTCCAACACTGAATTCAAGTTCTCGGTCTCGGTCAGAGTCTCGGTTCGATCAGAGCGATCTCGATTGAAATAGAACTCGTTACAATCCCCATACGTTTCCCTACACGGTGCACGGTAAATTGTTCACAGTTGTTCGAAGCACAGGATTTCTATAAGCGATAAATCCAGCAAAGGTCATTTCACCATCGTGTTGAATGCGAAGCATTTCTCTTCGAGAGTTATTCAGACGGTGAAAAAGTAGCAGCGGATATACAAGAGCTTTGATGAGCAA